GCTGTTTTCTTCTCGAATCCAAACGCTGGGACGTCCTCCCTAATGTAGTCGTGTCCACAACTACACTTGTATTGGTGAATCACTGAATTAACATGATGGGGAGGGAGGACGTCCTTACGAATGAAAGAGAAAGCAGGACGGGTAACAAATATTACCCTAACATTTGCCGAAAAATAACAACTATTGATTAAACGTGAAATACATTTCAATAAACTCTCACCCTCTGTACCAATATAGAGAAGACGCAAATAAACTGGGCAGTTATCAGCTAATTGCAGCTTCACCCTATGGAATTTACTGATGACATCTTGAATAACGGAGTCTAAAACATTCAACGGTTTTATATGCACAGGTTTGTAGACTTGTCCCTCACTCTGTTGAATCTTGTAGTGATCTTAAGGCTAAACTCAATAGTTATGCCCATTCTTATGCTGGCTCCTCTGTTTCTTCATCAGAGTCCAAATGGGGAGAACAACACCGCCAGGTAATTCAAAATTTTAAAAAAAAGTAATTATAACCTGGTTATTACTAAACCTGATAATGCTGTTGGTGTTGTTCTACTGGACTATTCAGATTATGTTTCTAAGATGGACAATATACTTGGTGATACATCAAAGTTCTTAAAATTAGATCCAGTTGAGACCCATGATCATACTGCCTCTATTGAATCTAAATTTCAAAGGCAACTATTAAAGTGGGTCAAGAGTGGTTTACTCTCCTCTGAAATTTCAGAGTTAATTAGACCCACTGGGTCCATTCGTCCCCGTTTGTATGGGTTACCTAAAATCCATAAGGATGGTGTTCCTTTACGACCCATTCTGTCCGTGATTGGGTCTTCCCAGCGTAAAGTCGCTAGTTGGCTCTTGAATGTGCTACAACCAGTTTTGTTGCACTTCAGTACATATTGCATTAAAGATTCCTTCTCCTTTGTGGAAATTAAACGTAGTTCTTCTACTTATGGTGGGTTCATGTGTTTGTTTGATATCTTCTCCCTGTTTACATGTGTTTCCCTGTCTGAGACTATTGAGATCTGTTGCGATATGTTGTATCGTACCTCTTTGTCTCCTCCGGATTTTCCTGAGGGTGTATTTGTTGAGCTTATGATGTTTGGCACTGCGTCTGTCGAATTTAGTTTTAATAATATTATGTATCGACAGGGTTGCTATGGGTTTGCCTTTGGGTCCAGCGTTGGTGAATATTTTTTGTTCGTTTTCACGAGGCTTCTTTATTTACTCGTATTGGTTGCCCTCTTATGTATCATCGTTATGTGGATGATACCTTCTACCTCTTTAATAATGAGGCCAAAGCCGACAAATTTCTCACCAAATTAAACTCTGTCCATCCTGCTCTTAAGTTCACCATAGAAAAGGAGTCCAATTCTTTTTGGATGTTCTTGTCCATAAGATTATTGACAAGTTTGAGACTTCTGTATTTAGGAAGGCCACTTTTTCGGGACTTTATACATGTTGGGACTCTTTTTGTCCCAGACAATGTAAGATTAATTTGATTAAGGCCTTAATTCACAGGGCACTTAAGTTATGTTCTGAGGGTCTTCTCTGCGGGGAAATTGACTTTGTTAGAATTACACTATCAAAAAAACAGATATCCGTTGGATGTCTTAGACTCCGTTATTCAAGATGTTATCAGTAAATTCCATAGGGTGAAGCCGCAATTAGCTGATAAATGCCCAGTTTATTTGCGTTTATCAACATTGTATATTATGTATATTCAGTAATATATATATATATATATATATATATATATTTGCACTAAAGTATACCAAGAATAAAAACAATAGGATTTTCCCAACCATGTAGCAACAAATATTGTAGCCACATTAAACACACCAATTCATTCAATAGCTCAGTGTATATAAAAAAATTTTATCAAGTTGTTTGATTTACTACTTTCTTTGCTGATATTGTAATGTCTGCAAAACACAATATGAAGAGAGAACTAATTGTATGTCTGTGTATAGAAATGTGTAAATATCTATAGAAAAACTATTGCCATTTTTCCTTAACAAGTTTTTTTAGATATGGCTCGAGTTTACAACTGGGATGTGAAAAGGCGCCAAAGCAATAAGGAAGTGAAGACTTAGAAATTTATGTTTATAGATAACTTTTTCTTATTTTTTTTTTTTTTTTTTTTTTTTGTCTGTGTTTTTGTATTTTTATTAATTTTTGATATATAATGTTTTCCTTTGTTTTTAAGTTTTTCCCTACAGTCATTGCTTCACTCCATTCTCCATTTTGTTCATCAGGTTGAATACAGTGCAGTAAATATTATTACAAGAGAAAATAACTGGAAAAGATTTGCTGTATACAAAGATTTTATGATAAAAAGCACTTATAATTGATAAACAATAAAATTTCCAATTGCTGATAGTGTTGTGCATATTTTCTTAATTATAATTGTTGGATACTCTTTTGAAGGCTTTGTTTTGATGATATTTCTCAAGAAGATTATGAGGATTATTGATAAATTTTTAATTTTCAATTTAAAATTCTCTTTTGTCATTTAATGACTAATATATTGTTTTGTGATCCTCTCAATCTCTGAAAAAGACAAAAAGATATGCAATTGTTTCTTTGTATCTAGCAGTAATTGATGCACTGGTATCTTCCTTGGTTCCTTGAAGTCATTTTGGGGGCAGTGAATGAGAAGTAGTTCAGATCTCTTTCAGCTGAGCAACATGCTGAATTGTTGCGAAAAATAGAAATAAACTTTTAAACTTTGAGATCACAGGAAAATAAGATCTACAATCCAGGCTGACTTTCTCTCCAGGTTACAGAAGCAATAAAATGGGAATTGAGTCCTCATAAAATTAAAAAAGAAATGTTTGCAGGTTTCTTCCTTGGTGCCATGAAAATATCAAGAGAATGAGGCATCATGTGTTTGAAAATCTGTACCTGTATGCAGATAAACCTAAGAGATCTTTATAAATTCTCATCACTGTAAACTTTAACTTGAAACATGTTTAGACAAACTGAAATCATTCAAATAAAGATTATTAAAAAGACAAACTTTTCTTTTTTTTTTTTTTTTTTTTTTTTAAAGAATCTATTTCAGTTAACTGAGATATCACCTGGTACATAACAAGGTTACTTTTGCTGCATAAATTCACTGTTGATCAGGATTTAAAAAAAAAATCAAATTCCAAAAGTTTGAAAGATGTTTACATACTGAAGAATATGAGTAAGAATATGTTTGTCTCTTATGTACAAAGATATGATCCCAATTTCAATGGATATATTTTGTGCTGAAAGACTGAAAAATCTCATGTAGGTTTTTTACTTGTAAATGTGTGTATCACCCAAAGCAAGGCAATAGATCCACTAAGATGGAAGGGATTACTGAATGTAAGAAAACCACTTATTAAGGAGAGAGAACAATAAAAAAACAGGAATTAAGAAAACAAGATAACAATTGACATTGCATTTAAATTTTTGAAGATTAAAGTTTACTGGGAAGCAGAAATCCAAATAAAATTTTTATGTAGTGTTTCTTAAGGGAAACAATGGTATAATCTTCATTTTAGTCTCTTTTGTTATGTTTTTTTTTTTTTTTTTTTTAGTTTTCTTTCTTACCCTCTACCTCCTCTCATACCTTCTCCCTATCCTCTCTTGCTTTTTCTCAATTCTGCTGCGTGGAAATGTACAGGCAGTCAATGACATATATAAAGAGGGAGCTGAATGAAAAGTTCTGGGGCTGTCCAATAAAGAAAGTACCTAAAGCTATGAAAAGAACATACTCTTCCACATATTTACCTTTTCAACCCACTTGGCACATTTTTTCTTTAACTGTTCTACAAAATTTTTGGATCACTCAAAGATTGTTCAAATCACTGGAAAATTTTCTCCCTTTCAAACTCCTTTTAAGATTTGAAAATAATGGAGCGATATATAGCTAGTGCGTAGGATGGATGGTGTTTACAATAAAATCCTAAATTCTTCAAAATGTTGACTTGTCAGCTCTAATCAGGTGTATTTCTCTGCCAAAAGGAAAATGTAATTTTTTGCAGTTTTTCATGTTTTTTTTTCTTTTTCAACACCATCAGTAAGCTCAGCAAGTTAGTGGTATTTTGCATTGCTTGGTGCTTCTAAAAATAGTCACCTAAATACCTTCATTATTTTTGCTTAAATATTGTGTCTATGACTTTTCCTTTTGTTTTTTGGGTCTTGAATTTCTTTGCCTATACAGAATCTGTTAGTACTGCTTGAACTATTGTTTAATTTCAAAATCATTAATGTATCCATGTTTCATCTACAGTAACAAGTAATTACAAAAAATTATCGCTAAATTTCTGAAAATATTACAAAATCAACTTGGAAGTGTCCGTTCAGTATTGTTTTTATTTTTTTGTTGGCGCTTGATTGTGAGCATTCTACATACCTACCTGCTCGTGAATAATAAACCTAACGCATATCTTTAGTGTTTCAGCATTTCTTTTCGCTGAGATTCTTTGATTGGCCCAAATTAAGTTATGTCGGTTTGTGGCTGTGTAGCAGAATGGTTAAAGCATTAGCATTCTATGTGACCTGGGTTTCAAATCTCACTGGTCAATTTGAGTTTTTGATAATATTGTTCTGGGAAAACCATCCTAGTATGCAGCTGTGTTGGGAAGTGACTGAAAAGAATACCATGGTTTGACCCAAACCTTATGAGTGAAATTACTTGGAAACTGTTGATAGCTGTGCTAATGGGCAAACAGAAACATAAGCCTTGGCTGGCAGTCTATTTTATTATTGTTTAGCATAAGGCCCAAGAGCCACACAAGGTAGATGCTACAAAATGAGGATGTTTTTATAAGGCTGTACAAAATATTAGCAAATCATATGAGGAAAATGTAGGATGGACAATAGTTGACCCTTGACTTGAAGAGGCCATGAATTGTAGTGATCAAGGAAGCATCCTCTTAAGAGTCCATCCCACAATGCAACAGCTCTGGGGAATAAGCTGTCTGAGTGGAACTCCTCTTCACCAAGAGGATGAGTATGTGGCATGCTGTGTTCTAGCTGTAAAAGCCTGGAGTGATATAACCAAAAAATATGGCTTGTCCAAACATCTGCCAGTAGTGAGAGTCTAGCAACATTTCTTGTATCTCTTGTAAATATAGAGCATGCCTGGAGATTTGGAGGTAGAGATTGTCTGCCCACTGTTATGACCCATGAGAGCCACAATATAAATAAGAAAAAAAAACAAAAAAAATAAAGTGGATTACTTGCCAAGGATATGACCGGGGATCCGCTACAATAGTGTATTTTTCTCTTATAGGGCCAAATACACGTGAATAAGAAAACCAACAGAGACAAAACAAATATAAAGTGCAACAAAATTTTAATCATACGTAAAACAATTTGAAACAAAGAATATCTGAATGTAAAAAAAAAGTATGTGTGTGTGTAATAGGAGTACAAAAAAACATGAGCAGTGGTAATTTCTCCTTATATCCTTTTGCATAATGTTGATTCCTTTCCATTTAGAAATGATATTTATTGTGTTGATCATCATTGATTTCACTGAATTTTGTGTAGGCCCCTTTGGTCACACAAGTGTTCTTTTAATTGGGAGTTTGTATGAGTTGGGGACTGAGTTCAATCTCTTCATTCTGAATCCATTCGCATGACAATTCCATGAATAGTCTGATCTCATTGAGTTTCATTGCCCCAACTAACTTGTGTTTCTTTCACACACCATTTCAAATATTGAGTTAGGTGACTCCATGTGAATAGTTATTTTTAGCATTCACATGACTTGGGTTCTAAGGTAAATCCTTTTAGACTCCACAGATTTTTGCCTGACTGCAGAGAGAGAGGGGGTAATAATGACACAGTGAGAGAGAGAGAGAGGGTAATAGTTACAGATAGAGAAAGTTCACTATAACAACCTCCCTGGATTTTAATTCTGAGGTGTTGACGGAGGATTGTCACACCACTCATTGGAAAATATCAACCTGAAAACACCTGCAATGATTGAAATTTTAAAGTCATATAAGCAACACATGAAGATAACATCTTTAAGCCTCGAACAGGGTCAAGAATTTAAAGAGTTGAGTGCTTCCTAGATTGTGCAGAATATTGGAAATTAGCACACCACTTAAATGAGAATAATAGACACTTATAGCCCAGTGTTTGCATTGCATACTCATGCATTGCTTTTGAAGTTTTCTTCTGCAAGAACAGAAATGTCATTATGACCCAGCATTTAAAACTTGAAAATTCTACATGCAATGGAATTGGCGGACTTTCATATTCTAAGGATGGTTCTTTCCGATTCCAGATTTGCCAGAACAACATTCTTTAGTTTTCAATCTGTCCAAGTGAATCAATTCCATTTTATATTAAGGCTTGTGTGGCACAATAAGCCCTGTTAGATTTGGTTTAGAATGCCAACAGAGTCAAGTGGGCTGTAAATGATATTATCTTGGCCTGGAACACTGGTGTTTTATAACAACCAAGAGTAAAGTCTATCCACAAGTAGGGAAAAAGAAAATAAATAAATCAATTAAAACTTTCAGGATCAAGTGCCACTTGGCTGGAAGGTAGAGAATTATCATTGTTGGCCTATATAACTCATCTCTGCAAAAATGTTTCCATCAAGTATAACACTAAAAGAAACCTCATCAAACAGAATTATGTTTTGATTCAATTTTATATAGAAACAATTTTTCCTTTCCATAAAAAAGTCAATTTGGATATTTTTTACTTCATACATTTTTTTAACATTCAAGTTTCAACATTCATTTCTTTAACATTTTTACTCACTGTAAATTTTGGCTATTAAAACTTCTTTAATTAAAATAGAGTTTACTATGCACCTTTATAATTTACAAATACAATAATTTATTTTTTAATTACTGAAAAAAAGAAACTATTTGTAATCATACACTATTCTTATATTTCTTACTAGCATAATACCCATAAAAATATTTACACTTTTGTCAAGGATCAGAATACTAATGTGCTCTACCTTGGCCTTAAAATGTTGTTGCCTGGCCCTCTGCCTCAGATCAGTATACTATCTGAGCACTCTGTAAAAAGTGTAACAAACATGCATAATGTAGATTTTATAAATGAGAGCTTTGTGGCATAATGATTA